ATATTACTAGTTTTAGGGGAAAAAATACATGATGCAGAGAAAAATTTTGTAGCCCTGCTGAAAGAAAGAAGTTAGGAGGAATAGAGCCCAAGAAATCTTCCAGGTAATTTTCTGCCTGAAGCATCCTCCTCTTCACTTATATCCAGGTATATCTTCTATTTCAGCTATTAAAATGGGAGCAGGGAAATTACAGCCCATGGACCAAATCCGGTTCCCTCAACAATATTTTGTTATTCTTATCACTGTTAATGATCTTAAGCTTTTTTAAAAAAATTGAGACAAAGTGAGAAAAAAAATATGCATATTTGGTCTTTTATACTTAGACATTTATTTCTCATTTTCAGTGCCCTTTTTTCTTTCTTATTGGTTCAGATTATCAACTTCTATCATTTCCTTTCAACTTAAAGCTTTTCTTAAGTATTTCTTTAGCAAAGATGAATTCTCTTTATTTTTGTTTGGGAATGTCTTTATTTCAGCTTCATTTTGAAGGATAATTTTACTGGATATAGGATTCTTGATTGATGGGGTTTTTCCGTGTACTTTTAAAACAAGATTTCACTGCTTTCTGGCCTCCATTTTTCCTGATGAAAATGCTGCTGTTAATTGTATTATTGTCCCCCTCTACATGATGAGTCATTTCTCTTGCCACTGCCAAGATTTTCCTTTGTCTTTGGCTGTCAGCAGTTTGACAGTGACGTCTCTAGGTATGGATCTTTTTGTGTTTTTTTCTACTTGGGATTTATCGAGCTTCTTACATCTATAGGTTAATGTTTTTCATTAAATTTGGAAATTCGGACATTAGATTTTCAAATATTTTTCTTCCCCTTTATCTCCCTCTGTTTTCTCCTCCTGTTTTCTCTCTCCCTTATGCATATATTAATACTCTTGATTGTATACTATTGGTGTCTGAGGCACTGTTTATTTTTCTTCATTACATTTTGCTTTTTGTTCTTCAAATTCATTCATCTGTATTGATCTATTTTCAAGTTTGTTGATATTTTCTTTCACGGACTCAAATATGCTGTTGAGCCTCTCCAGTGATTTTTTCATTTCAGTTTCAATTCCAGATTTTCTTTAAAAAAAAAAATTGGGGGAGGGTATATATAGCTCAGTGCTAGTGTGTGCTGAGCATGCACAAAGTCCTGGGCTCAATCCCCAGTACCTCCATTAAAAATAAATAAATAAATAATAAATAAACCTAACTACCTCCCCCACCAAAAAATAAGTAGAAAAAAATAAAAATAAAATTTTAAAAAATGGGAGTTGGCCTGTCTAAAGTTATGGATCTCCATTAGATAATTTCTTGTAATTTTTTAAAATTCAGTTTATTTAAACTAAAAATTAAAACAGTTCACCCATTTCTCCCATGCCTTTTTTTATTTTAAAGTAAAGTTTATTTATTGATTGATATTCTCTATTAAATGGCACATTTTGTCCTATTTTAATAATTTGTACATATTTATAATAAGTATTTTGAACACTTTGTAAATCCACACCTAGACTCACTTTCTACTGATTGCTTTTTTTCCTGAGTATGGATCATATTATGTGTTTATTACTATGTCTAGTAAGTTTGATTGAAAAGTAAATATTTTAATTACATATTGTTGGAACTTTGGATTCAGTTTTATTTTTTAAGGTTTTTGTTGTTATTATTGTTGTTTTGGTAACTCTGATGTACTTAAACTGTGGATTTTAACCTGCCCCATGGTTTGCAGTGGCCAATGGCTCTTACCAGTTTTTGTCTGTTTATTTGTTTTTAGCCTATCTTCCTAGGGGTTTCCCTTTTGTCTGCATATCTTAGTAGTCACCTAATGATTTGAGAGAGGCTTTATATTCAGGCCAGTAAGGCTTCCACTCTCTGCCAAGTGATATGTAGGTAGGTTGAAGAATGCATTCAAAGTTGCTGCTAGTACACAAGTCTTACATTTTTTACTTTTTGCCATACTCTCTTGAGTCTTCCCTGCACTTGCATACTTTCCCAATTAGCCATTATCTCAGCCATTCTATAACTCTTTCATATCCAATATCTCCCAGTCAAATCTTTGGCTGGTCTACCACTACCCCCAACTTGGACTGCAGCCTCAAACTAGCAAAACTGCATGTTTTCTCTGTCCACTCCCAAGTCAGTCTGCCCCTTGTAGCCAGCAGTGTCATGGGTTTTCTGCCTCCACTCCATATCAAATTCATCCACCTCCTCTGGCAGGAAAGCTGCTGGTTTTTATGTCCAACTCCATGCTGATAAAACTAGTTTTTCCCAACTGAGTTGGAGCTGGGGAGAAGGATGAAAGGAATGGTTAACAGTCCCAGGCAAGAAGGCCTCAGGCTCTCACTGATTGTACTGAAAACTCCAGCATTTTTTTTTCAAGAATAAATGCTTCTCAATTTGATAACTGCCTTTGGTCATTTTTCAGGGTCCTGAAATGGTTGTTTTTATTATTTTGTATAGTTTTATATTTAAGCCTTTTTTAATTGATATAAACTGCCAACCATTTCTTGTTATTATTATTGGAAATCTCATATCCAGCTTATTTTTATATCCCCAATTTAGCAATTTTGATTAGTTACTTGTTATACAGTCACCTACATGTTTACAATTTTTTTGTTCATTTTTCCTTCCTTTTGAGTCCTAAAAATGTATCTTCTAATAGTTTTCCCCCAGTAAAAATGGAATATATTCTTAGGTATATTTGCTTGACAATATCTTTAGTTTTGTCCTTTTCTTGAATAATAGTTTAACTTGCTGCAGAATTCAACATTGGGTATTTTATCTCTGCACTTTGAAGACCTTATTTCATTATCTTCCAGTTTTTATTGTTGCTGTTGAGAATTGAGAATCTCCTATAATGTTTCTTTCTTTATGACTAATTTATCTTTTTTCTCTCTAGATCATTTCAGACCTTACTTTTGCTTTTGGTGGTCTAGTTTCTCAACATTGTATCTAAGTATCTATTTATTTTTATTTAATCCTGGTAAGAACATTTTTCTTCCTGTGTCCAGATCAATACAGGATCAATTAAAACTACAATCAGTTGTGTATATTTGTTAAGCCAGTTATCTCCTCAAATATTGTCTCTTCTTCACTCTTTGAATTCTGTTTCTGAAACTACCATTAGATATATTTTACATCTTTTCCAAAATCTAAATATCTCATATTTTCCACCTCATTTTTCTTTTTATGCTATACTCTTTCTTGGTAATTTCCTCATATCTACCAGTTTACTGTATTTCTTTTTTTAGCTGTATCTAGCCTGCTGTTTAAGGTATCTAGTGATTTTTGAAATTTCAATAATTTTTAAATTTCTTTCTAAATGTTCTGTTTGATTCTTTTACACTGCCTCCAGATATTTATTTTCTTATGTCTTAAGTATTTTTTAATTCTATTGAGCTTCTTTGAAAATACATATTTTATATTGTCTATCTAGTGGTTCTGTTAGCTAAAGTTTTTGTGTATCCCATTCTTTGTTGTATCTATCAACTTTTGCTCATAGAGGATTACTTCTTATTTTCTAAGCTTTTATTATAAATTCAGATTCAGTGAGGCTTTATCTTTGAGACTTCATGCAGTCTAGAATGAGGAGTGTCTACTGGGGATATTTTGAACTAGTATCTACCAAGTGCGCTAGGGATAGTTCCATGGGAAGATACTTCTTAGGCCAGGTTTAGGATTTGGCGTTCCTGAAACATGCAAATCATGTAAATTTGAGCCCAAAACATGTTCGTCGAGGCCTATATAAATCTCAGAAGTGATTTTGGCACCCAGAGACCAACTAAGACAAACAATCTGCCTTGTCTTCTCCCTGTGTCAGTAGAATGATAATTTCTGGTCCATTCTTTTAATGAGAGTTCCTCCTTCAAGGGTTCCAGTTTTGTGGAATGATAATAGTCAGAGAGGAGGAGACAAGAATCTTATTTCTAACTTCCTGCCTTGAATTTCTCAAAATCCTTCTCTTTTACCTTTGGTAGTTTGATGCTACCAAAAATAGATCACAACTAAAGAATGTACTTAAACTATTTTAAGGACCTGAAAAAAACATTAGAAATTGTGATTTATAGTAAATGAAGGTGGCTATTTAATTTGCAGATGGCAGTTTGTAGTATAACCTTCTGTCGTTTACAGAAACGTATGGATTCCTCCTGTGAATAGGGACTTCCCTTAGTACCTAGTTGATAGAAACAAGATTTCTGCTACCTTATCATTTCTCATCCTGTGCACCACTACGTCCTATACATAATCTAAGATACTTTATATTCTCCCAAAGACCAGGTTTACTACTTTCTCAGCCTTTATCCCCTTAGTAATTTGTACCAAACATTAACTGACTTACTCTTTCAATACAAATATTTACTCTGCTCCCGTTAAAAAACGTAGCACACTGCCACTATGATCTTCAGTAAATCTGAGAATTCTTATCACAACCAGTCATCTTATTCCTGATGAAAAAGCTACTTTAAAGCATAAAATGAAGTAAATCTCATCATACTGCCATGACATTTTTAAAATGTCATATGAGAAAAGTTTACTACTTTAAAGGATTCATTTGTTGTTTAAAATATTTTTTAATAAAAATACTTTTAATTGACAGGGACTTTAGAATATATGTTAAAGAGACATTTCTTGTGGGAAGGGATAGACTGGGATTTCAAAATTGTAGAATAGATAAACAAGATTACACTGTATAGCACAGGGAAATATACACAAAATGTTATGATAAATCACAGAGAAAAAAATGTGACAATGAGTGTGTATATGTCCATGAATGACTGAAAATTTGTGCTGAACACTGGAATTTGACACAACATTGTAAAATGATTATAAATCAATAAAAAATGTTAAAAAAAAAGAGGCATTTCTTTAACCATACTAGCAAGCAACATTAGTCTACATTATGTATCATCATATAGGATCAGGTATTAATATATTTGATCAAATTCCTCTTTTATATGTATATATCTATGTCTAGGTAGATATATAGATATGTGCTTTTTTCATATTTCAGGAGTTATGCTTTTTATGCTATGGTGTGTAACCTGGTCATTATCAGGCCCTGAAGCCCTTCCTGGTGGAAGTTTATTTGGACTATTAATTATCTTTTATAGTGCCATTATTGGGGGGGAACTTTTGGAAGTCATTAAAATGCCTTCAGTGCCTCAACTTCCTCCTCTTCTTGGTAAGCTAATAATTAGCTCTTATTTCTTTGTCACTGACTACATGTAAATTATGACTATATTCTAGGCAGAGTAGATATAATTTAGAACTTTTTCGGTGTAATATGATCTATATAGCTTTTTATATGTGTATTTACTATACATGTATATATCTAGCTCTATTCTCTATACACACACAGATTTTTCCTGAAATATATTTTTAAATAATTTAAATATACTCAATATATGATTCTTGTTGCTTTATCATTTAATAGGACATTTTTTACTTACCTTTAAATGTATTATAAAACAGAAAAAATTTGAAAAAGACTGAATTTTTCTGTAGATAACCTAACTCAAATCCAACTATGAGATTCAAATACTGTAGTGACTAGGGCACCAAAAGTTTTTGTAATTTTGAAGTAAGCTGTTTGGACATCTCCACTTTGTATATTCATGGCTGTATCATCTGCCTAAACAATGTTATACCCTGTTTCTTCATCACTATTATTATGTAACTCTCCAGGTAGAGAGGAAAATTAGTGGAAAAACTTTTATTAGAGGTGTCTTATATCTTCTAAGTATTCAGTACATTCAGACATTTAGTACACTGTCAATAGAGGTGATCACTCCCTCTTATCTCTAACACCCTTTCTGTGTTCATAACACCCTTTCAGCGCCTCCCAGGTATTCACTGAATCTTTTTTCTTCCTCTCCAGAACTTCTGCTCTTGACCTAACTCGGGCTATTTGTTTCTGACTATTCCATGGACTATGGCAGAGTCTTCTGATTGGTCTCTCCTACAGTTTTATGTCTATCTAATTTACTGAGACCATCACAAAGAAAATGATAGACTCATTATCTCACTTCCTGCCTGAAACTTTCCCATGGGTCCTCCCTCTGCCGAAGCAGGGGAGGTAGCAGGCAGGGGTAGCTTTTCATGATCTGGCCCCTCCTGCCCGCTCTGCCACTCCCGTCCTAGTCCTCTATGTTCAGCAATACTGAATTACTTGTTGCACCCCACTAAAGTATGTTATTTCTTATCTCCATTCCTTTATTTATGCTGTCTCCTCTACTTGTATGTAACCTGCCCTTCACCAGAGTAACAAGAGACATAGTATGTTTGAAGAAGGGAAATTAAATATTTTTGTTTTCTCTCTTGGAAAAATGAACTGAATCAGACATGGTTTATTTTTTTTTCCTCTAAGGGATGTTACTGGCTGGTTTTACCGTTAGGAATGTTCCATTCCTCAGTGAATCGTCCATCTTAGTAACACGTTATCGTCAACGTTAAGAAACACTGCCCTTACCGTTGTTCTAGTGCAAGCTGGGCTTGGACTCGATCCACAGGTAGATTTCCAGTTATACCTTGAGTATAGTTGTTTTAAATATTGGAGGCTTGTGGAAAAGAAAGAGTCAGAATTTCTGTTATAGCTGTTCTAGGTAGAGCAAAACCAAGATAAAGAAGAGAAATTTTACAGAAATATTTGCATGTTAATTTTACTTCTGGTCATCATTATTACCAATATGAAGAGAAATCACTGTGATGTAAGATCTCTGTTAGAGATAGTCTTTACTTACTTACATAGAGCTAAATGTCCCTCCTACAATATTTATTATTTGGGAGTTGTGGCTTTTCTGTGAAGAATTATTTACTCTTCAGTTAACAAAGGATTAGGTCATCCCATAAAAGGTTATAGCTTTTGTTTTTTCAGAATGATTAAAAATTTCAATAATATTACCGTTTAATGAATTTTTTCCCACAGAATTTTGTTCTTGATTATCTGTGCTTTACTGTAGAAGCTAATTTTTTTAAATGTTTCTTAAAATATTACTATTTAGGGATCATAAATCTGTTTGGGTTTTTAAAGATATCTGTTCATGACTATAACAACTATTCAGAATATAACAAATGTGGCAAATATATAAGATT